GTCGGCGCCGCCGGCCAAGCCCGTCCGTGGCGCCGTGCGTGACCCGTCGTCGCTTCGTCGTCGGCCGAGCGCCGAGATCCACGGTGTAGCGGCGGCGGCGGCGGTGGTAGGAGTAGCAGTAGTAGGAGAAAAAGAGAAAGGAGGTAAAAGCCCGTGTCTAGCGATCCTCGCGAGCCTCCACCACGCGTACGCGCCGCTTATCATCGTGATCGCGATCAACTCGTTGACGTCGTCGTCGGTGACGAACACCGCGGAGCGGGTGTTGCGGATGACAGCCCGTCGCCGTCGCCGTGAACGTGAAACGATTACGTTGCTCGCGATCGGTCATCGCGTATTGCGTAAAACTAATCCGATTTAGGCGGCGACCTCGCACTGCACTCTCTCTGTGCAGCCCTCCTCCTCTCCTCCGACGACTTCCGTCATCGTCGCGATTACGTTACGTTCGTCACGTCTCCGCGGCATCTCGGACCTCGGATCTCCATCAATGTCCCCGTCTTGGCGTCTTTCATGGGTCTCTTTAGTCTCTTACGCTTACCGGAGGGGATTCACCGTCATCGCGTCGCAGTGAGATCGCTTCTGACGCGAAAGGGGGCTGGGGAAGGTGGGAAAAGGCGAGACGAAAGGGGAGAAGGAAGGAATCACTCCGACGCGATAGGGATAGGGATAGGGACAGGACAGAGGGACAGTAGGGACACGCTTGACACGCAGTCTCCTCTCGCTCTGCGCTTCCGCTGATTCCGCTCTCACCTCTCACCTTCACGGTACGCTCCTCTCGCTGCCTCTCGCGAGAGCGATGCGTCGTCGCGCGGCGGTGCGCGGATCGCGCTGGTGAGAAAGTTTAACGCGACGCCTCGCCCAACCCACTTTCGACTTTCGTGGTAGCCGCTCCGGGTTGTGCGCGTCCCCGAGCCATGTACCCGCGGTGATACTTGCGCGGCTTCCTCGGCCAGCGTTTTTCCCTCTCCCAGCTCGACAAGTGGAGTTCCTGGATATCGCGTCGCGTTGCGTCGTCCCGCTTCGCCTCGCCCACTGAACGCCTTGAACGGGTATGAAATTTTGCGGGACGACGGTGGACTCCGACGGAGCTCTCGGACTGTCTCGGAGTAGCGCGTCCACATAACCTTTATGCCACCAGAAGCGCAACGTTCGTTTTCTCTATTTTCCCTGCCGAGTGATGTATCGACTATCGACCGCGACGATTCGGTTCCGTCATCGTTGTCGTCGTCCCGTCGGATTTCGCCTCACGGAATCGACACCGCGGCCGCGACGTTGAACGGTCCTGTCGAGGACGGTGCCACCTCCGTCGTTGCGAATCCATTTCTCTCATTTGTTGCGCCGCGCCTCCCACATCACATGCGAACATACGTGTTCATCTTGCTCTACCTGACGATGTTTAGTTTCATTCTGTTCTGTATACTTCTGTTTTCACGCATTGTTATCTCGCGGATACAATCTGTACCTTTGAGTTTTTATAGTTAATAAATTTGGTTCTCACTCACGCAAGCAGTTTTGTGTTTTCATTTCGTACACACACACATTCGCACGTACCATCCCATTTTTCCTCACACACCAAATTCTGCACAGATTCTCGAGTTCCGTAAGTATACAATTGAGAGAAAGAGAATCTTGCGTTTCGATCACACACACATTTTTCCGTCGAGGGTTTTTTCTTTCAGCTGTATGTTATGATTTTGTAATTCTTGCTGGACCAGTCGAAAGTGCAATTTACTTTGTCTAAGATTGTTAGAAAATATCTGGAGATTCGATTACTGAAAATAAAATCGATCATATCAGTGTGAGAGCTTATGAGATCGATTTTTTTTTAATTATTTACACATTCTGTAGCTGAATGAGAAGAGCGACATGATACCCATGGTAGTCATCTTCTGCTGATTATCAAAACGATGGTGCATTAAAAAGATTGACATACGTGGATTAATCAAGGCAACTCATCACACAAGTTGAGAAAATGAATAATCAAGCGTTCAGTTTGGCGGAGAGGCTCATACCTTCGACCTACGTGCAGCAGGGCCTGAACGCCAAGAAGTCTCGTGAGAACCTTATACGGCATTTTATCGAACATGTAAGTCATGAGAAAGCGATCTTCTCAGTAAATGTCAATTAGCAGTAGCATTATATCAATATTTAATATAATTTTCTACTCAACAATACAAAGGTAATATAACACATGTTGTACATAATAATTACATTCCCAGATAGCCAAACCAATCAAGGATCCAGTATTGCAGACTATAGGCTTTTCAGCAAGAGACAGATGATCTAGGCTGTGATTATCAGAGAAAACTAGTCAGTTAACACTTAGTCATTCTTTAATATGAATGAATCTTACACTTAGATTCAGCAAAGAACTAAAAGCAAGAAACAATCATTAAAGAATCACTAAGCTAATTGATTAGTTTTCTCTGCTGAATGTGCAACTATAGCAGTGAATCATTACATCCTCATTGTTCTCCAATATTAAACTAAGATGAAATCACTGCGTTGCATTGTAAGTGCTTTCCAGCAAGGCAGATGATACAGTGTAACACAGTGAATCATTACATCCTCATTGCCAATGTTAAATAAAGATGTCCAATGTTAAACAAAAATGAAATAATCACTGTGCCACACTGTGTCTCTTGCTGTAAAGCACCGTGTGTTTTGCATTGTAAGAGCTTTCCGGCAGGAAACATAAATGACATAATATAACACGTATAATGAAACATTTCATCTGTTTAATTTTGACAAACAATAAAGATATAATAATTTATTATGTTACATCGTATCTCTCGCTAGAAAGTATCCTATAAATATCTCTATAAATAGAATGCCAGCAACAGTCAAGTATAGTCTGCTATTTTTCTAAGATAAAAATGTATCAGAAAACCCTGTATATAACATAATTTAACAAGTTATGCTGTTTAATTGCATTTCTTATTGTACTATAGTATAAATTGTAAGTAATGATAGAACCCAAGTTTAAAGAGGAGTGGATAAGAATCCTCTAATCATAATCAAAAGGCTATCGATTGTTGATATACTGTTAGTATCTTACTATTTATTGAATTTCTCGAGTAGGAAATTATAATATTGATATTACTTAATTGGTGTTTGCTGGGCTTGCATAAAATAAATTCTACTAATACGTATCTTCTCATAATGTTATGTGAAAAACAGCGAAAATGGCCAGAAGAGGGTTGGGACGACGCAACGATAGAAGCATTCCTGTCGGATCTATCGCAAATGGACAGCAATAACTTTCCCTCGAATTGTAGTGTCGGTGAACGCGAGGCGAGGATCGTGTCGAACATCGTCGCGAGACGACACTTTCGTATGGGACACGGTATAGGAAGATCCGGCGATTTAGAAGAAGTACAACCGAAGGCTGCTGGTAGCAGTTTAATGTATAAATTAACTAACTCCTTAGTGCTTGAAGTTATACGATATATGGGTAAGAAGTTACGCAGGCATATATTTAGCATAAAAAATATGAGACATATGTATTTAACTCTCCGAAGTCAAAATCTGTAATACAATTATTGATAGAAAACGGTTATTGACTCTGGGTCTGTGAAATCCGTTTAATTTAGTTGGCTAAAAGGCTTTAATTCCAAAGAATTAAAGTGATATAATTTGTATAAAAAAGAATGAATACTAAGTTTATTTCAATTACAATTAATCAAATTTGCAGATGTAACATAAATAATATAATACTTCTTTTAGCAGTTTTAGCTGAACTTCTTGAATAGTTTATCTTTTTTCTTTTTCTTTCCAACATGGAGAAAAAAGAAAGGAAGATGAACTATGCAAGAACTTTAGCTAAAAAGAACAGACCTTATAATTGAATGGATCCAATACACTTATTATCGACTCTGGAGGGTTATATATAATAATTGCAAAAGAAATTATTATTCGTTTAAAATGATAGAAAAAAAAATTATGAATCTTGATATTAGACTAATCACAGAAAAGTTCATCAGTATTCTGTAATTTATTTCTTTATTTTTTTGTCTGGTTCTTTTCGTTTTATTAGTATAAAAAGGCATTTAATAAGGATATTTTCGCTCACAGGAGTGAAGAGCATAGCAGGCTGCTTTCTATCACCAATGGCCACGGGAATGAGCCTAGTTCTATGTATGTTAACGCTTAAGCAAGACAGACCACGCGCGAAATACGTTTTATGGCCTAGAATTGACCAAAAGTCTAGCTTCAAGTCTATAATTACGGCCGGATTAGAACCTATTGTTATCGAGATGCAAATAATAGGGGACGAATTAAAAACCGATATGCAGAGATTAGAGGCTCAAATGGCAGCCTTAGGCGAGAGTGTTGCCTGTGTACTTACGACAACCAGCTGCTTCGCGCCCAGAGCGTGCGATTCCGTGGACGCGATCGCGGCCCTCTGCAGCCAGTATAACATACCACATCTGGTGAATAATGCATACGGGTAAGTGAAGGATGCACTATTTTTTTATGTATATCTTTAGATCGATACCTTGGCGCTAGAACAACCAACATCCTCTCTTGGCTCAAACGTAGAATTTTTATTCGAAAATCACAGAACGTTGTTGGTTTTAGTCCCAGGATATCGAGGTACATTCCAATTGAAAACGATTTTACTAAATGTATTGCACTATATTGCTAAAAGCTTGCAGAGTACAAGGTGTATGCATCTCATACAAGAAGCGTCGAGAAAGGGTCGAGTAGACGCTTTCGTTCAGAGTACGGACAAGAACTTTCTGGTTCCGGTGGGTGGTGCTATTATAGGTTCCTTCGACAAGAATCTCTTAGATCGCATATCGAAAATGTATCCAGGACGTGCAAGCGCGAGCTCCGTTATGGATGTGATGATAACGCTGTTGAGTCTTGGAATGGCAGGGTACAAACAATTGATTGCTCAACGTAAGGAAATGTATTCTTATCTGAAAGAAGAATTGGGAAAATTAGCAACAAGGCATGGGGAGAGACTGTTAGACACTAAGGGTAATCCAATATCTATGGCTATGACTCTTCAGTGTCTGAGCCATCAGCATGACAACAAGCAAGTTACTATGCTAGGGTCAATGCTATTTCTGCGTAACGTTAGTGGTACTAGAGTTATAACGACCACGGATTCTAAGCACATTGTTTCGCATAAATTTGAAGGTATATATTTTTAAATATGATTTAATAATGTTCTGAGAACATATTAAATTTATTGAGATACAAATACATAATATCTTATGTTTAACCCAAGAATAGTCACCTGATTTTTGATACAAAATTACTTGAGGTGTTTTTATACCTCAATTAAAATCATTATTATTAACAACATATTGTATACTATTATTTTTCAATTTATTAATATTTGACAATTATATGGATATGGATATGATCATAATTTTCTGAAAAAAATAAGTAGAGACTAAACAAATATAAATAGCATGTTAAGTAGCTTATAACGATATTTTTTTAAATAAAGATTTTAATTAATAATTTTTTTTTATTACTGGTGAAATATTTTCGATGGAATTGCATATTTAAAGGTTTTTAAAGAATAGTTATTAAAAGAGAAAAAAAATATTAAACAATATCCATGCAAAACAATATTTTACTATTCATATTTTTTCGCCGCTCGGTTGTAAAAATACCCAATATAACTATTTCTGGATTAAAAATATCGTAACTATATTTTAAGCATATATTTTTAATTTATGATAGATTTTTATTTTTATCGAAGATATTTCCATTTCATAATATTTATTTCAATTATTATCACAGGTTGGGGTGCACATAACAGCAATTACAGAGTTCCATATCTGACTGCTGCGGCAGCATTAGGCATGAAGAGATCTGATGTGGATGCGTTCATACAAAGATTGGACAAAGCTTTAACGAAAGTAAGGAGACGTTCAGCACCAGTAACGCCCACTGCTTCACTCGCCGGTTCCAGCATCAATGGGGATGCAGGTGGTACTGGTGGACCAGGAGAATCTAGCACAGCCTCAACCAGCCGTGCAAGTAGCAAAGACAGCCTAAGAAAATGAACCGTAATCAACGCAACTGGCCAGTCCAATCAGCACATTAATATCAATTTGTAAGTAGCTTATCGCTTACAAATTGACATCTATAGCATGTTTCTGAGAAATGTAAATTCGGTACAATCGTTCCTTTATACGTATGTCAATCACGTTTGTGTTGACAGAAATTTTACAAAATCTGAAGAAATTTAATACAAAAAACAAACCTGAACTTTTTAGATTAAAAATTATATAATACATTTTTTATAGAAAAAAAGACAGGAAAGAAGATGTATAATGATATATGAAAACATTTCTTCTTTAAACAAGATGTAAGAAAATCTCTTACGATATTAATATTGAAAGAAACAATGATTTATATATATTTTCACAGACACATGCTAGATACAAATGTACTGATTCGTCTGCCCATTTGCGTTGAGATATTGTCAATTCAAACTACCAATATACCAAAAGAAGATGAGAATCTTCAGACATTAAAGAGTGATCAAAATTAATATTTGAAAAGAAAAGAAAAGAAAATGATAGGAAACGCGAGGCATTCGGATTCCTATGGCTCTATTTCAGAAACAGATCTCAGAAAGAGATTCAAGTGATAAGCGCTGGCCGCCGATATAATTGTTGAGTATGTTCTTTGTTGAAATGTATATGCTATTATTTATAAAAACACAGGCAACATTGAATTCTTACAATTAACTCTCTTTTCACCTTCTTATTTTCTAATACAGTTTGATATAAATACTTAAGAAGCATGTATCAATCAAAACATTGTATGTTTGTTTTGTATAATATAAATTCTTTTTCTAAAGGAGTACTATGAAATTTGCAATTCTATCGATACATGTAGCAATATTCACTACTTCAATTGTTTATAATACTTACCATGTTATTCTTTTGGAAGCTGTCGCATTTCTGATAATTGATTTACTTATACATTGCACTTTATAGGATTAATTGTTATTAATTGTGTAGTGTTTTTGTTCTCTTTAACTATACATATATAGAGAATGAGAATCCTTCTCTTTTATTTAAGCAGAGTATATTCGTATTTACGGCACTAGTAAAATGATATATTATCTGTAAAAAAAGGAAGCAGTAGTAAAATATTTATGGAAACACACTATTAGGAAAATATGTCAAAATTTAGGTACATAGTACACATAATGACATAACGTGATAAACGAATATGTTTTATCATTGGGTTTATAGAAAATTTATAATACCTTCGCGTAACGTAGGTATTATATGTTTGGTTTGTTTCCAAAAATGACAAAAACTAGAACGCAATATCGTGTTATTAATTTGTTTTTAATGATACAGATAATATTATATTTAATTGTACTGTTGTGTAATAAATAATAGAGTATCATGCATCTGACTTAGAAGGAGTATGTTATGTGAATATTGATATCGTTTGGCATATTTAGTATTGTTCGCAAGCAACATCAACATGATTACTAACTACTAACACACATACATATATATATTTATACATACGAAAAAAGTATGTTTATATGTATATAGATGCCTGCGTGCATAGGTATATATACAGATATATTCATACTTACGCAACTCGTTGCGTATAAAGAATAGTTTATTTAAAGTTTCATAAATTTAGAAAATGGTATATCAAAGTTGTATTTATAAATATTTAATAGAGATAAAGGAGAGAAGTAAACCGATAGGG